CTGACTCTTCAGCCTGCAATCCCTCCACCCAAGAAAAGGAGTGCAGCTTCTGCTTGTTTATTTCTCAGAAGAAGCCGTTAATATTCTTTGCCTGCTGCCTTTTCTCTACCCTTATCTTGCTTTTATCCATTATTGTTTTCCACAAAAGAAAAAGGAGAAAACGATTTAAGGCAAAAAGTATCCAGTGCATCTGTGTTTCATTATAAAAAGGGGGCACGAGCCCACTTTCAGTGAGATCCATCACCGTCTGCATTCTACAGAGGACGATGCTGAACAGATGACTGTAGAAAAGCACTACGTGAGTCACTCCAGTCATACACACCCAGCGTTTCATTTGAAAATGGAAAGTAGCTGTAGGCACAGGAAAAAAAGCTGTGAAGTTGTTTCTGTGAAATTACTTTTATCACCTCCTGTACGTAGAAGATGATAAATTCATTTATTTAAAACAAACAAAAAAAACCACCAAACATTTTATGACTCTTCCCGTGCTTTGGAATAATCTTTCCAAGACTTTTGACTTGAAAAGAGATACTAAGCTGTGAGAACTGACATGCACTTTTCTATAGACCTCTAGACCAAAATGTCTTTTGATGTATATTCATGTTACAAATGTTGTTGAGTATGAAACTGCAGTTGTTAGCGTTTACAAATAAAAGTGTTATTAAAACCCACAAACTTTCAGCTAAGTACAACACAGAGAATGAAATGTCCTGAGCCAGTTTCTGAAGATACCGCTAGAAAAAATCCAAGTTAACTCCATTATCAACCAACACACCTCCGTCTCTTACAAACTGGGTGAGGCAGAGATTGGATGTTCACTTTAAGTAAATGTAACTGGACCCACAGGAGACAAGTCAAAAGAGTATACAATCACTATTTTTCATCTCCAAAACAGGGCAGCCCTAACAATTTTTACTAGCAGAGAACATAAAAATAAATAGTAACTGTTAATCCCCTCAAGAGAAGAGTAGTTCTAAATCACACTTTTTCATAGAAATAAAAGTGTGTTCTCATCTTGGCTCTGCTCAAGTGCCAGCAAGCCATGGGTGGGATAACACCGTGGAGGAGTTTATTGCTGTTGCCGCATTAAACAAAACCTATCCACCCAGGCATAATGCTCTTAAAGGATAAAGGAACCTGATACCCCTTTTAAATTTTTCAGGGACCAAACCCAGATGTTTCCCTTGGTCTGGTTTTGGTCATCCTGAAATGAGCCCATGAGCTTTTCTTCTCCCATGAACTGCACCGTCATTTAAAATTCATGTTAGCCTGCCTTTTCAGTCATCACATCAGATCATTGCTCCCCAGACAGGTACGACACACCTCTGCAGAAGGGTAAAGAAGCTGCTCTAGAACTGGAACAAAGGGCAGAAGAGCCACCGGTTAAATCCTTACTGCCTTCCAACCTCCTTTTCCAGGGGCCAGTACCATTTTCAAGACACAGTGAAAGCCCCAACCTGTTCCCACTGGAAGCTAGTTACCTCAGTATTAAGGTCCCCAAAACAGACAGACACACTTTATCTGTATCCCAGCACCTCCGAACAGATGAGGTAACACACAAGAAAGCATCAAACACCCGGTAAATGATCACATATTATCATAAAGTAAGCACTAAAGTATTACAGCCATTTAATAGAAATTCCGTGGAAGTGCTACCTTGAGGCTATGTGCAACTGACTGAACCCCAAACTGCCAATTCTCGATCCAACCTTGAGTCTCGGTTCATAAAAGCATGTGCATATACCTCCATTGTAAGTATGGGTTAACATCACAGAAGGTTCATGAATTAAAAAGGTTAAATACTAGTAAAATTTTGAGGGACTGGCCCATTTTACACTCCAAAATGTTCTACCAGCACTGCAAACAGCACACGCGTTGGAGGTGCTGAATCCTTCCACCACCCAAAGCCACAGACTAGTCATCACCCACAGCAGCCATCGAATGGCACCGATACAGGAAAACTCTTGAACTCTGCATGCACCACGGGAGCACAAAGAATTTCAGAAGACTCCTTTAGCAGCACAATTAGAACAGCGCAAGATCCCATCGTAACATTAGACAAGCCATGTACAAAGTCCACATCTGCAGTTCAGCATCGCTGCCTCCCCAGGCTCAGACACTGGTACCACACACCCCTGTTGAACTCAGAAGAATCATGCAAGTGGGTGCTTTAGGCAATTTTCTGAATTTCTTAGGCACAGGTGGATGCTTTCCTCAATATTAAGCTTTAGCTATTTGTGGCCAGGTATGTTTCTGCATTATCACAGTATTTCTGGGAGTTTTTTTCAAAACTGAATGAATGCACCAAGTGAATACGGATTTTACCGTAGCACAGAAACAGCACAACATCCCAACTACATGTTGCTACTTGGCAAGATGGATAACCAAGAAAAAACAGAGCTATATCCCCAGATGACACAAAACACTGTTGGTGAAACTCAGCAGTAAGCTCTGTCTGAACTCTGAGGTCAAGTCCTTGGCTTTCTTAATTGAGCAATACAGCTAAAGCATTGTATTTTCAGACTACATCTATCTCTCTATTCAGTTTAAATCGTCTTACAAATCTGGTCCTACTGATTCCAGTTTTCTTTTTAATCTGCTTCAGATACTGTCATCACAAGTCTGAATTCCCTTCCAGAAACTGTCCATGGAAATCAAGTTTCTGCAGTCTGAGGTTCTTAAATCATGTGGAAGAACACTAATCTCCTGTCTGTGAGAACAATGTTTTTGCTAGTTCTTAATGCTATGATTTAAAACTACCACTTTGTGGCTTTACACACTGGGTCCACACTCCACTGGCATGACGTTTCCAAACCATGAGACTTCACTCAGTTCTCAGACTGGTAAGGCAACATGTACACAGTGCTGACGTTATCTTGCATGACCCTGCAACAATCTGCTTCTCCAAATGCCGAAGATCTCCAACAGGTTCACACAATCACCATTTAGTTCTTTAAAAAAGAAAAAGAAAAGAAAAAGAGAGGCCAAGATATGAAATAGGTTTTATTTTATTAAAGCTCTCATGGTGTTCAGGTTTTGTATCAGATTAATCAAGCTGGTACTTGCTAATGTAATGTCCCATGGTTGTTTGTTTCAGGATCCAGACAACTGTAAATAAAAGTAAGGAGCTTTTAGAAAGATTTTTGCACTGCAAATATGAAATGGACATTAATAGCTCAAAGAATTTGCCTAATTTTGTTCAGACAGAATTACTTAAAGATGCCTTCAAAGACAACAGCTCATGATAGTTTAACAAGCTGGTAACAAGTTGTTCTATCTCCCAAGAACTCAGAACAGCAGTAAAAATAATTCTTCTAGTAGCTTGAAAGTGCCTGGTATGTTTAAAGAACTCATTTCATCTGCATCCTCTGTCTCAAGTTTAGGTTCAGAAGGCACAGAATAGTTATTTCATTTGCAACAGCCTGTTTCATCCTTCAAAAATGTTCTGTACCATGTACAGAACCATACACAGCTGAAATACTTCAAATTCTGTTTGAAGTTAAAGTTAAAATTCTTAAAATAACCCCCAAATCCTTGTACTCATCTTCAGTAATAAATGTACATACACAATGTAAACACTTGTCCTTGTTATACTGACCTTTGTTTGCAAGCATTTACACACAAGCGACATGGAAGACTTTTATCCAGAAATGGCATGCTGACCTTTTTTTTTTTTTTTTTTTGTGAAGTCAGCATCCAACCAGGAGGAACATTAGTCTAAGAAAAGTATTCTCTGTAAATAGCTGTAAACTAGTCTGTCATGCTCGGTTAGCCGGCTTTAAGTTCTCAGGCACTACCATAACCAGTGTTCTCCACCATAACCAGTGTTCTCGGCTTAGAACAGAGCACTTGAGTTAAACGTTTCTCCATGCAGCATGGTAATACTGAGTTGATGGGAGAAGAAAAATTGCTGTCAAGAGATACACCAGAATTTAGGTCTTATGATACCTCTTATGATGCCTTTTACAAGCACAACTACATCTCTGTTGGAAACCTGCTTAACCTCAGCCTTGTTAAAGCAGATAAACCCTGTCAAACCCCCAGATTGAGTAACCATCTCTACAGAGAAGACGGACCAATGTTAAAATGATACAAACCTATGAAGAGTTTTACTCATCTGCCTGCTGTACTGTTCCTTTCTCAGAGACATAGATACCATCCAAGAATTTCCTGATATCCTTGTTCTTGACTGTAGTGGCTTGCTGGATCAAGGCAGCTGCACACAAAGCAACACTGTTAGCACAAAGCAAGAGGTCCAAGCCAACTTGTAGCCTTTGTTTGCTCTCCAATGCATCAACTAACATGTAAAAACACCACTTGAAATCTTTGTCAGTCCTAACAAAAACACAACACGTGTCAATAAGCCTGTCTTGGCACTCAGGACAGTGAGTGTTTATTACTGCACATTTGTACAACTGAAAAGCTGCAAAGTTTTGTGCCAAAAAGCCATCAATATTGACTCAAAAAGGAAAAAAAAAACAGTCTGTGGAATTTTATAAAAACATCTCTAAGTTCAGAAAAGGCTAAGAAACTGTGAAAAGTAATTACGGTGACTAGAGGAAAAAAAAATAATCCCGAGCTGTCCTTTATCTCAGGGTTTGAGAAAATGACAATTTGCTAAGCTGACATCTCCAGGTAAAAGTGACTGTATCATTTTATCTTCCCATACATGTACTTTCACAAACCTGAATTGGAGACCAATTCAATGTCATTCCCTTCAAGGATCAGCTCATCTTTCTGGGCTTGAGATACTGCACAGGAAACACCTACAGAAAGGGAAACACACAACCTACATTGTTCATGAAGACATTAAATATACTCAAGAAAGAGTATTCATGTTCTGTCCCAATTTACAGATTCAGAAAGTAGCATTCTAGGCAATAATTATCTTCTACAACAATTTTGTTAGAAGAGTCCCCCAAATCCCTTCCAGGGTTGTCCTCCCTCACACCGTTTTGGAACTCAAAGATTAGTGCAAGTCATGCTCTGGATTGAAAGCAACTAAGTTCCATTCCTACCAAAGTGTTTCTACATCACAGCATTAATCACCAACATCACTGTACAAGCCAGAGGTTTTGCCAGTATGGCTTCGTCAGCTAGATGGTGCCATTTTCCACATTCTTATGTTCATTAAGACTAAACTGGAGTCATCCAATCAAAAGTCATTAAAAAAAACCAACCAACCCTGATCCCTTACATGTCAAGGACCATGTTTAAACTAGCAACACTGCAATACTCCTAAGAAGTTAATACTAGGACATTCAAGAATCTAACAGGAAGCTTCCATTTACAAGGAGAATAACACAAGCAAGTTTTTATAGCAAGTTTTTATAGTCAACAGACATCAGCTTTTAAGACAACACTTTACTATCCCTGAAGTAAATGCTGACTTAATAAAAAACAAATAATCAAACCCATCCTTATTATTCCACAGTAAATCAATAGTCAAAGCCACTGTAAGTGGCTCTGCACTGCATCTGCCAGTATTTTTGCACAAGTCTGACACTTTAATCTAAAGCCATCCCAAAACATCACCAATCACACTAAACACCCCCACTCGCACCTTCACCAGACTTTCAAAAAACAGATATGGAAGGTCTTCCCAATGGTCTTAACTATGCTTATGAACTTTCTGAAGTTTAACAAGCTCCATAAAATGCCTACTCTGTTAAAATATTCTGCTAAAACTCCAAGTATACAAGCCGTAACACCCAACAGTTAAGATTACAATTTTGAAGTTCATCATACTTGCTCCTAGACAACCAGGAAATTCAAAACACAACACTTCGAAGACGAAAAACATGATATAGTGTGAAACTAGTTCATGTACAATATTTAGAAAAGAAACACAAATCTGAAATAAAGCACCTGCAGTTTACCAGCTATAAACACTGTCAAGATCTCACAATAAGAAAAGTAAACACTGGACTCCTCATAACTTGTAGCACAATACCAAGCTCTAAATTAGTTGTTAGCTATTAAGTAGCTCTAACTACTCAAATTACAAAAGCATTACTAATAATAAATCTAAACAGTTGTAGAAGTATCATAAGATTACATACACTCAGACAGGCAAATGCTGCTTCAATAATCGTTCCCCATCTCCTGCTACTGGTGGCAGGACCCAAAGAAAATGGTTTAAACAGTCCAGTTAGAAACAGCAGAGCACAACTCCAGCGACGCTCACCTGGTCTCATACGCACTCGGCGAATGTACTTCTCTCCCAAGAAGTTTCGGATCTCCACAAGCGAGCCGTTTTCCTGTATAACCACGTTGATTGGGAAGTGAGCATACACGGACCTCATCTTGTAACGAAATCCCTACAGTAAAGAACATCATCAGATTATTGAAAGCAGAATGCAAATGGTAAAACAAATGCATAAAGATTACTAGAGACATCTAAACTCAAGTTATATTGAAAACAGTTTAACAAGGGCAAGCCTCTAAGCCCAAGAGACATCCAGAGTTTATTGTTCATGCTTTCTTCCACATATAGAACTTGTCTGATGCACAAGCAAGATTAAAAAAAAGACAGAAAGAAAGCTACCACCCTGGGTGCTTAGCAAAGCTCTCACTGAAGTCAAAGGCTGCCTGTTGCCCTCACTAACAAAAATTATGCGAGTTATCCTATTCCAAAATAAAACTCACCAGTGTAACACCCTTTATCATGTTCTGTACATGGCTGCAAATTGTACGAACTGTTGCCAGCTCCTTTCTGTTACCCCACCATTTGTCAACGCGCAGCTGCATTACGAGAAAGAAATAAAATTAGCAAAGCTTTCAGTTACACTTCAAAACTAAGCATGAAACACTTATGTGACAAACTAAGAGTGTAAAGTTCAAGTAAACTACTGAAAGGCCCTCCTAACAAAAACACAAAGGTATTTAGTTTCTTGGAAGGTGCAGCTACTTCAAGCCTTTTAAGTTCTAAAGTCCCAGATGCATCACAATTTTTTTCTTCATATCTTATTACTAACAAATCTTCAAGAAGGTGCGATAGATATTCTGACATCTTAATCTGAAAGATGCTAAACACTGAACAGGTTGTTCCAAAATCAATCTCTCAACTTTTTAATGGAACTGTGTGTGAGTCCAGTGCTTTAATGAAACACTAGGTGTTTCCAAAAAAGCAGCTGAAATCAGTCACTCTTCCCATTATTTTTTTTAAGACCATACAAACACATTATTCATTTATTTAGGAAACATCTGCTCTCCTGATGCAACTTGATAATACTGACAACTATGTCAGTAGATTTAGTTTTATCTAGCTAGAACTAGCCAGTTTATAAAACACAGCATACAACATTCAATCCCCTTCCCAATAACTGCCTGTAACCATAAAAGAAACTAATGAACAAATTTAGTCCAACACCACAGAACTGCAAGACTTTCATAGTGCCCAAGTAGATCCCAAAGTTCTACAAGACCAGCCTCTTCCAGAACACATAGAGATAAGCAAGAACTTCAATAACATACTCACAGCTAAACATCTGGGTTCAGTCTCTCACACTACCAAGAAGTTTTTAAACCATCAAGCAGAGAAACTGGGCAGAGAAGCAACTTTGGCACCGCTCACCTTCTTGTGTTTCTTTCCCAGGAGGGACAGCTCCACATTGATGTGGTTAAAATCCCTTCGCAAGGTTCCTCGGGGGCCCTTCACAATGACTGTCCGGCCCTTCAGCGAAACGCTGACTGGAAACCAAAGGCAGACACACGTTAACCCGGCTGCGGGCTCAGCACCGCGACACGCCTTCCCACGGCGCTGTCAGACGTACCTTGCTCGGGGATGTCAACGGTCTGGTTGCTGAGAATGGTCTTCATTCTATAAAGGACAAGCGGGAGAGAAGCTGCGGACCCTCGAGGCAAGGCCCTTTTCCCGCACTCTTCCCGGTCCTCCCCCGCGCCTACCCTGGAACTGCGCAACTACCGAGCGCCGGCCCGATGCCTCCCCG